CTTAGGGCTTGGGAAAGTATTTTTAGAATGAGAAAAGTTGTACATTTTATTCCTTTAACTATTTTTTTGGATTGTTTGGAAAGAAAGGAACATAAGAGAGTTTGAAGGAATTGAAAGTGAGATGCATGAAGCTAGAGATAGATACATACACTATTTCGACTCTATGATCTTGAGTCATGACATTTATAGAATGAATGATTTTGGGAATATCATAAATATACTTAGTGAGATGTAAATATTTATAGACGGGTGGCACACTCTTAGTGTCTTTTTATTAATATACTGTGTATACTTTTTATTTTAAAAAGATAATATGCTCTTCCATAAACCTACTTTATACGGTCTACCCGCTTCTCTAGAGTGACTTTCCCTATCCATGCCCCCTCATCTAACATCTGCCATCCTTTTTCATAGACAATCATCCTCCCTCCATTAACTCCAACTCCATTTACCATGAAAGGCTCTATTTATATTAACCAAAGATTTCAAGCATAAGCCCCCTTGCTTTAAATGTAGTTTCACCTCCTCCCATTTCAACAAATGATACCTTCTTCTCCCCTCTTCATCATCCCATAGGAAACAACATTGAATGGCCTCAAGTTTCTTCGCCACATTCACTGGGATAGTTAATATCAACATGAAGTAGATTGGTAAATTAGTTAAAGTGCTTTTAATAAGGGTTAATATACTCCATTTTGACAAGAAATTTCTCTTCCACCCTGCTAATCTTCTCTCAAACATCTCAATCACAGGTTCCCAACTTCTTCCTTCTTTATATTTGGACCTCAACGGTATGCCAAGATATTTATGGGTAGGTTTTTTGCTTTACATCTCAGCACCAGAGCAAATATTCCATCTTCCCTTCTTTCCTTGAATCTCACCAATTCGGACTTGTTCAACTAGGTATTCAACTTAGATAGTGTTTGAAAATAGAATACACATCTTACATTAAGCAACATCTTTATCTCTGGTTGGCAAAAAATTAAAGTGTCATCTGCAAAGAAAATTAAGACACCTCTAGCTGGTCGTCATTTCTCCTTAGAGTGATACCCCTCAACAATTCCTTCTCCTTAGCTTGCTCCAACAACCTGTTCAAAATTTTCATAACAGTAATAAACAAGGGAGATAATAGATCTATCTGTCTTAATCCTTTTGACGTCTTAAAAAACGAAGATGACCCTCCATTTACCAACACAACAGAAAAGGAAGTAGAAATACATGCATTTATCCACTTCCTCCATTTCTATTCAAAGCCTAATCTTTCCAACATGTAATCCACAAATGCCCAGTTAACATGGTCATGCACTTTTTCCATGTCTAGCTTACAAAGAATTCCTTCACTTTTAGGAATATTAAACTAAGAAATAATAAAATCTCAAGTTACTAAACTATGATAATACTCCTAAATAATATAATGATAGACTTCTAAATAGTATAGTTGTTTTAGATTTAAGATAGTTATAATTTCTAAAAATCTAGTACTAGCCTATTCTGCATTAGATTTACATGGCTAAATTGCTTTGACCCATAATGCCCTCATCAGATGTCATGTGCATGACACTACAAATTTACATTCATGGAAAAGAAAGGAATAAGTTCAAGTGTAGTTCAAGATCCGATAATTATTATGTTGTTTTTTTATCATTTCTTTCCTTTTATCTTGTATGCTCTTGAAGTGCCATTTCTTTTAATTCCTGCATCAAGTATCTACCATGATCTAAATTATGAAATATAATGAATGAGAAATCTGTCACATGTGACTGGCGACCTTATTGGTTTTGACCACTAACCGCAACCAAACCCAGCTACGACTGGTTTGGTTGTAACCATATTCTGTTGCGACTGGATCCAGTTGCAATTGGGTTTAGCTGAGCAGTTGTGACCACCAATCAGAGGGATCCCGATGGTTGCAGCCACCACTCCTGACTGCTCTGCTTGATCGATCTTTATCAGCTGTTAGTAGTTGGTGACTGTCCTTGTTGCATGATGGTGGTTGGTGATTGGTGGTGTTGAGTGGAGAAGTGAAAGAACTAGTGGTGTTTGTTTGAACCAATGCTTATAATAAACAGAAGTGAAGTAATAATTTTGATAGTCATAATGCACTTTGGATATACTAGTGTAAAGAATGGTTGAATGTGTATTTTATTAAATATTACA